TTGATAGGATGCGGGGAGACCATGTCTCAGGAGTCATTGATAGGATGGGGAGACCATGTCTCAGGAGGCATTGATAAGATGGGGAGACCATGATCCAGGAGGCATTGATAAGATAGGGAGACCATGTCTTAGGAGGCATTGATAGGATGCGGGGAACCATGTCTCAGGAGGCATTGATAGGATGGGGAGACCATGTCTCAGGAGGCATTGATAGGATGGGGAGACCATGTCTCAAGAGGCATTGATAGGATGGGGAGACCATAGTCCAGGAGGCATTGATAGGATGGGGAGACCATGTCTCAGGAGGCATTGATAGGATGGGGAGACCATGTCTCAGGAGGCATTGATAGGATGGGGAGACCATGTCTCAGGAGGCATTGAAAGGATGGGGAGACCATGTCTCAAGAGGCATTGATAGGATGGGGAGACCATAGTCCAGGAGGCATTGATAGGATGGGGAGACCATGTCTCAGGAGGCATTGATAGGATGGGGAGACTATGTCTCAGGAGGCATTGATAGGATGGGGAGACCATGTCTCAGGAGGCATGGATAGGATGGGGAGACAAGGTCTCAGGAGGCATGGAAAGGAGGGGAGGATGGGGAGACCATGTCTCAGGAGGCATTGATAGGATGGGGAGACCATGGTTCAGGAGGCATTGATAGGATGGGGAGACCATGTCTCAGGAGGCATTGATAGGATGGGGAGACTATGTCTCAGGAGGCATTGATAGGATGGGGAGACCATGTCTCAGGAGGCATTGATAGGATGGGGAGACAATGTCTCAGGAGGCATTGAAAGGATGGGGAGACCATGGTCCAGGATCATTGATAAGATGGGGAGACCATGTCTCAAGAGGCATTGATAGGATGGGGAGACCATGTCTCAGGAGGCATTGATAGGATGGGGAGAAAATGTCTCAGGAGGCATTGAAAGGATGGGGAGACCATGGTCCAGGATCATTGATAAGATGGGGAGACCATGGTCCAGGAGGCATTGATAGGATGGGGAGACCATGGTCCAGGATCATTGATAAGATGGGGAGACTATGGTCCAAGAATTATTATAGAAATCTTCTCAAGCAAGAAGAAGAAAATAAAAAAAAAATGAATATAATACAGTGCTATGCACCTACCATCAATAGTTAGGAAGACGAAAAAGATGCATTCTGCAATAGACTACAGGCAATACTAGAAAATGTCCCAAGTCGAGATCTAAATATCATAATGGGAGACCTAATGCTAAGATTACCAAGGAAAACAGAGGATACAACGACATTATTGGGCGCCAATGTGTAAGAGAGAGAAGTGAAAATAGCGAAAGACTGGCACACTTCTGGGCAGCAGATAAGCTCGATCTTGGGGTAGGCGAATTCCAGAATAAGAATTTCAACATGTAAACTTGTATTAGCAAAAAAAATCAGAAGTTCTCTGCAAGATGTACGAACAAAAAGAGGAGCTGGCGTTACATCTGATCATAGTCAAGTTTAAGAAAAACTCAAACAGAAGAAAAAATTGGAAGTGCCAGCTGCTAGAAGACTAAAAAACAGCAAAGCACAACTGGCAGACGAGGAGAAACAACAAGAATTCAGTGCTAAACTGAGAAAAAAGTTCCAGGCACTTCAAGACCAAACAGATGATGACTAGATAGAACATAAATGGGAAAACATAAAGATGTTTCAAACATCCAATAGTAATAAGATATTAAAATCAATGAAGCAAAAATACAAAGATCGGCCCTCACCCAACACGTTGCAAAAATAGACGAGATGACCGAAATGAAGTTTGCAGTTTATAACAGCCGGACCAGGGCAGAGAGCAGTAAACAACAGCCGCACCAGGGCAGAAAAAACAAACAGAAATTTTAAAGAAGCAAATCCAAAGGATAAAGAACCCCATCAAATGGATAAAAATGCTTGCCTAGATGGTATAGCACCAAAGGCAGAAGAAGCCGCCAGAAAGGGAACCTTAAAATAGCTCTGTAACATGACAAGAACGCTCTCAGGAAGAAACAAGAGGCCACAGAGACCTGTTAAAGGCAAGGAAGGTAGAGCAATAATGGAACGGAAAGAAAGACAAAAACGATGGGTGGAATACATAAAGGAATTTATCAACACACTTCCACCCACGGACACTAGATATACAACCAGCAAATGAAGATTTAGAAATAGAAGACAGTGCCCCAAATAAGGAAGAAATAACCCTGGTTACCAAGCAGCTTAAAATAGGGACATCATCGGGATCGGATAAAATCACAACAAAGCTGATGTGTGCGGATACAGATACAATATTCTACATGCTGACCCACTGTTTGAAAGGATATGGGAAAAAGAGAGAGTTCCAAAAGATTGGAAGAAAGGATACCTCGTCAAGATACCAAAGAAAGGGATCTCAGCAGCTGGGCAAACTTCAGAGGAAATACACTGCTGTCTGTACCAGGAAGGGTTTTTAACAGAATTATTTTGAATAGAATGAAGTCGATACTCAGTTAAACAAGTCAGAATCATTCAGAGTTCTTATGATGTCTCTTGTCCCCCTGTCTATTCATCTTAGCCATTGACTGGATAGTGAAAAGCTCCGAGAACAAAAAGAGTAACGAGATACAGTGGACACCTTCTGAACAATTTAAAGACCTAGACTTTGCAGATGGCATTGGACTTCTGTCCCACAACAAGCAACAAATGCAGGAAAAGACTTACGATGTAGCCAATATTTTAGAACCGCTCGGACTCAATATAAATAAACCAGGACAAAGATCATGAAGGTAAACTCAGCCAACCAAGAGCATATATTTCTCTGGCAGGTAGGAGTGGAGGCTTTTAATGCTTAGTCATCACCATTGTAATAAATGCTATTGCCCATATGGCAATCCTCAACATGGTTAAACAACGCTTCGCTCACTGTGATGGATGGCCTGCCGCTATCACTTAGATTAAGATTAATCTGCATCTGCTCCTCTCTCACTCAATAAGTAATGATAACGTCCAATGATTTACACAGTACTTTATTACATACATTGAACACAATAATAATAAGACTGGCCAGGAGGATATCCTGTAATAATTCTAGGATGCAATAATCACACACCTATACAATATTGAACATCACAATTGAATCATAATACTTCAATAATCCATACGAGAGGAATACAAATGTCTCCTCCCTGTCAGATAAAATCGTATACTGTCTCGTTTAACTTTAGCGTCCAGTGCTTCCGCTCTATAAATTAGTTCCCCCTTTTCTCGTGATTTACAAGTTATCACAACGTTATGCTGAAATTACTACGCCATCCTGACATGATAGTGTCGTGTGTAAAATTACAGTCATCTTGCTCGGTTACAGATAAAAAGCAGATGTTAAGGATAGAATTGGAAAGACTGGATCAGCATGTGTGCTTTAAAGAAAATATAGGAGTCAAAGGAGCTAAATGTGCTTAACAAAGTCAGAAGGCTAAACTATCCTACTCTATGGAGCTGATACTTGGTGAACAACAGCGAGCGTTATGCAGAAAGTAAAGAGTATTTAGAACGTCAAATGGCCAAAAACAATCACCAACGAAGACATACTGGAAAGAACATTCCAGGAACCCATGGCTGAAGACATCATTATAATAATAATAAAGTTTATTTAAAAAAACACGCTTCATCCCCAAAGGCTCGAAGCGCGGTAAAAAGTAACCCCCCACCCCCACCCCAACCATAAAAAACAAAAAAACAAAACAAAACATCTATAATTTACCACATTTAAAACAAACGCAACACTACAAGAACTAATTACAAGCATACCAATTCAAAGTCTTTCTACCCATTTCAAGCCTAAGCAACACAGCCAATATGCATTAACTGGAAAATATGGTAGACAATCATCCCAGAGGGTGTTTGCGAAAAAGATGTGTCTTTAAATCGGGTTTAAAGGACTCCAGTGTCTGGTTGTTTCTGAGAGCGACAGGAAGGGCGTTCCAAATTGTTGGACCAGCAAATGCGAAAGTGCGCTTTCCGCAAGTCTCAAGGCGAACACGTGGTGTCAAGAGTTTGCCACTGTCGGATGAGCGGAGTTGTCTAGTGGGTACATATGGCGTCAACAGCTCTTTCAGATAGGACGGCGCCAGGTCATGTAAGCAGCGGTAGCACAAAGTTGCGATTTTGTACTCTATCCGAGCGTGGACCGGCAGCCAGTGCAGCTCTCTCAGAAGTGGAAAAGATGAATGTTGATAAAGGACACTCTCCATAAACCCCAACATACAATCAACAGACAATCAACAGACAATCAACAGACAATCAACAGACAATCAACAGACAATCAACAGACAATCAACAGACAATCAACAGACAATCAACAGACAATCAACAGACAATCAACAGACAATCCTTTACATGGAATCCACAAGGAAAAAGAAAGAGAGGAAGCCTTAAAAATACATGGAGACGCGGGCTAGAAGCAGACTGACAAAGTACGGATATGCCTGGAAGCAACTGAAAAGGAAAGTACAGGACCGAGATGAATGGAAATTCTTGTAGACCACCCTCGCCACGACCGGTTAACATTAAAAGACATCAGTAAGAAATTAAAAAAATTACTATAGTAAAGACTAAATACAGAAAGCTATTAATTAACAGGTGATATTACCTTGTGAATTTTATCATAAACATATTTTAGCATTTAAATGAAATTTATCTGTCTCGTTCAGCTATTGTTGGCACAATTTGGCAATCAAGAAATGTTACGATTTTTGTTTCTGAACAGGATTTAGTGCATATTCAAATTTGGTAATTTATAATGGAGCATATTCAGATTTAGTTATTTATAATAGTCTTTTTAAAATATGGTTGTTGCTTGAAGAGAAAAAGAGTAGAAAAGCTATTTGAATCTTCTTGCAACCAATGAGGGTTGTGGTGTGTAAAAACTTTCAAACACTTGTAAAAAAAATTGCCAAGACGGATAGCTAAAAGAGAGAAAAAATGCCCTACTCACGCAAATTAGGCAGGCCGTTAGGTGGGGGAAGGGGATAGAACATTTCACCAGGAGCAATGGTCTCCGTAGCATACGTGTTGGTCCTGATGAGACCGAGTGGTGGCATTGGTGGATTTTGCTCCACGACAGATCTAAGAGGTACGGTACCAATAATAATCTCTAAAGGTATCTCAAGTTCAAAGCCCCATCCTTGTGTTATCACATTCAGCTGGGGATTAAAAATACAATTTTAAAAAGATTTATTTGTAAACTTTAGGAAAACCCAAATCAAAAACAATATAAAAAATTATTTTACCCAGTGATGGTGTTGGCATCTAAGAAATTGAGTCCTCTTATTATTTAAATTAATGATCAAAACAAATAAGAAACCCAGTCAATCAAAATATTTTAATTCAAATATTATTTTTTTAGATTGATAATATTAGTGAAATTCAGAAAAAAACAATGTTACAAGTTTTAGCCATGTCAGTACTTTCTATAATAAATTAGACCACACATTATAAGAGGGCCGTATAGACTTTAAAAATCAGAAGCCCTTCCCTCCCCAAAACTGCATTATGGAGATCCCTTTACCTTTGCAAATTAAATCTGGCTGCCGACGTGAAGCTCTTCTCCATTCCAATGACGCTTTTTTTAATATATTAAAAAACTCTGCTACTCTGTTATGGTATTCTGAAGAGTTCCAGACATAACTTCATTTTGATGCGGATATCAAAGCAAGATAAATACTAAATTTATCTTACCTGTAGGATATAACGTATGTCAATTACGTTGCAACCCACAAGGAAACATGGCGGCAAGGGTGGAACTACCAGCGGTTCTCCTGTCCAGTTGTCTTTGCTGTGACATGCAATCTCTGGCCGAGTAAGCCGAGCCACTTCATATGTTTTGGTTTTGGAATGTACAATCCCCGTATAACTGTCATGATATATTGTCTCCTTGATCAAATGAAAAAGATGATCAAATTTGATATGGAATTTCAAAAGGATTTAAAATAAATTGAACAATTAAAAAGTAGTCTTTAGTAAATTTTCATAGTCCCACTCATTCCAGTTTATCAAAAATAAAATTTGAAGACGTATCAGGTATATCCTATTTCATAACTGGTCATCGAAAACATGAAGAAAATAAAAAAAAAATTCTTGTTGCATTTATCAGAAAATCATGACCATTTTTAGATCAACAAATGATTTATCCATTATTTTACTTACTCCGTTAATGATTTCGGCATAAAGCTTAAGAGCTTCTCCTGGAACATAACCCATTCTGTCGATGTGAAAAGTCGCCTCGATTGGCCCAGATGTACAACAAATGCAGCACAAATATTTCTGGTTTGTTTCTTGGAGTCGTGACTATAAAAATATGAAATATAACATTCACCGAATGCACATTGATGACGTCACTAAAAGGAAATTCAGCAATAATGTATTTGACTGACTTATGATATAAAATGGAGATCTTGTCAATCTTGATTTTTAAGTCTTGATTTTTAAGTCTTGATACCTTTCATGTCCAAACGAACATGGCATCTCAAAAAATATAAAAAAAAAAAAAAAAAAAAAAAAAAAAAACACGATTATAAGACAATTAACTATTTAAATTCTTTAAAAAATCTTGACTGAGTTAACATAGCTTTTTAACAAATGTGTTACCATGGTATTGGGTTGCATGTTGAGATCTAAGACACTGACGACATGTCGTGTTACCATGGTATTGGGTTGCATGTTGAGATCTAAGACACTGACGACATGTCGTGTTACCATGGTATTGGGTTGCATGTTGAGATCTAAGACACTGACGATAGTGAAGACCCGCTTAGTCTTTTGATCGAATTTCCATGGCCTGTCAATGGTACTTTTAACAGTATACCTCACATGGCCGGCTTTTGACTCATACGAAGAAGGGAGACCTTGTGGCAACCCAAACTGAAATGGAAACGTCTGCCTTCCAGCTTGTAATTCTCTGGTGCCTCTACCTTGTCCTGAGCCTGCCAACAAAGCAAATTATCCCTTTCTATAAGACAATAATTAAAAAAAATATATAATTGGACACAAGTTGAGTGATTACATTCTCATCTGACTGACATCAAATTCTTTGACTCCACCATGTTGATTTTGTTTTGTTGATTTTGGTTTTGAAAAAGACGGTTGCTTTCGTCAAGGACGATTAGAATTATTAGAATGAATCGTTTGTTACATGTATTTAAAAATGTGTAATTAATCCCTATTAAAATTATGTTTATAAGCTAAGTAGCCTACCTGGTCCAAATAAGAGAACTTCTTGGTCAAAGTATTTCTCAGTGCCGGAGTGAGTGGCATTGGAAGTCTTTGACACAAAGCGGGTGTAAGCTTTTCCCACAAAGTTCAACTTTATTCCTTTAAAATGAAATTAAAATCACACAATCTGCTAAAATTCTTATCTGAATCATTTGTATTTTTAAACAGGGGCCCTAATGTCAGGGGCCCTAATGTCAGGGGCCCTAATGTCAGGGGCCCTAATGTCAGGGGCCCTAATGTCAGGGGCCCTAATGTCAGGGGCCCTAATGTCAGGGGCCCTAATGTCAGGGGCCCTAATGTCAGGGGCCCTAATGTCATGCATAATCCTTTGAATTTATTAACTAATATAACTATAACGCCCTTGGTGTTTTTGGTTTTGTTAACTAGTTAATTTATTGTTACAAACCTCTCATTTTCATTGGCTCTGTCAACTCTACTGTGACGTAGCCTTGAATTATGTTACCACTGTAAAATACACCACTTCCATCGTAAAAGAAAATCTCAAACACCTTTAGTTGCTCCATAATGAGGATATCAACGTTTAAAAAAAAGAGACGAATACCCGTTGTATCATTTAATGAAACAGCAAAAAAAAAAGGATGCAAAACACGCCCCAAGGGGCGCCCATTAATTATTTCAAGAAAATATCAGGGGAAGGGGGTTAGAAATTGTTGACAATTTTCGACCAGGGGGGGGGGATTAGATTACTTGAAGTCAACAATCATTTACATTAAAATTTTAATCTTAAAAAATCCACACGATGAAAATAAAAAAAAAAAGAAAAAAACACATTGTATAAATAAAAGAAACAAAAAAAAAAAAAGGATGCAAAACACGCCCCAAGGGGCGCCCATTAATTATTTCAAGAAAATATCAGGGGAAGGGGGTTAGAAATTGTTGACAATTTTCGACCAGGGGGGGGGGCTTAGATTACTTGAAGTCAACAATCATTTACATTAAAATTTTAATCTTAAAAAATCCACAGGATGAAAATGATAAATAAGCTAATATGACCATTGTTACAATAGAACAATTCCTGGCTATTACATGGGAAGATGATAGCAGCTAGACACTATCCAACAATTGTCAGCTGGGCTGACAATAATCATATTCTTACTTCTGCAAACAATCATATTTATTCTTTAACAAAGTTTTCATGGATTCTGCATTATGAAATTTAAGTGTAACAACTTTGTAACTTTTGGATTAATAAGCTTAAGGTGTAATAAAATGGTTTTCCTACAATTGTATGTGGTATTTCCTATCATCATGTGGTATTTCCTATCATCACGTGGTATTTCCTATCATCACGTGGTATTTCCTATCATCACGTGGTATTTCCTATCATCACGTGGTATTTCCTATCATCACGTGATATTTCCTATCATCACAAAGAAAGATATATTTTTATATTTATTTATATTATAATTTATTTTTTTTTTGGGCTGGTGTGGTTATAAAATTTTGACGTATTTACTGGGGGGGAGTGTCACCCGGTGCTGTACACTCATGGTGTCTTCCAGTGCTGTAAACTCATCGTGTCACCCGGTGCTGTAAACTCGTGGTGTCACCAACAAACCCTCCCCCCCCCCTTCTGGCCCGACTTCTACAATGGATTTCTTCTTGCTAAAATAAGTCAACAGTATAATAATTATAGGAAAAAAAACAAATTAATTGAAGGTCAGGGGGTAAATTTATTTAAGAACTGCAACAACGTTAAATGACTGTTATTTTTACATCAAATTTACTTTTTAAAATAATTTAACTTTCCTGGTCTACAAAGCTTCAAACCTGTCAAATACGCGAACAATATCAATATCCTTCACAGCATCACATCCAATAGGAGTCGCTTAGTCACTTCCTTGTTTGGTCACGTGATGAGAGTAAGCCATCACTAGGCTGCTACACACAACAAAAGATAACAGCTGATCTGCCATTAATTTTTAAGAAAAATTTTGTCTTCATCAGTGCTTCCCCAATGTCATGTTACTTAAAAATTTTACCTTTCAAAATATTCTGGCATACACTTGTTTTTTTAATGAAATATATAAATGTGACAATAAATATACGTCAGTTATTATTAAAGGAAGAAAATTATTTCAAGAAAAATTTGTGAGCGATATTCGATGGGAACTTGAGCTCCGTGCCCATGACGTCATTTGCGTGTTTAATATTTGTGCAAGAGGCATTCCTCTTTATTTTATTGTTAATTTTCATTGGACGAAATGTCAGCATACCAAATGACGTCATTTGCGTGTTTATTAAATAGGAAGGAATATTATAATAACCGATTGGAACAAGATTTCATGTGAATAATTTTGAAGATCCACTTTGTCAAGCAATTGTCTTAAATTTCCTTAAGCGGAAATTTATGCAGGCTTATACCGATATCCTTAATTTTACTGTTTGAACAGCCAAAAGCCGAACATTGCCTAGGTCTAGGTATCTTGAATTACTAATTGTAGTGTGTAACGGGCTACTGTTGTCAAGCACTAGTGGGTTGCATACAGCCTCCCGGAAGTCTTACTCGTATTTACTCTCATCACGTGACAAAACAATGGGAGTCGCTTAGTCGATTGATTTGTCACGTGATGTGAGTAAAAACAAGTAAGACTTCCGGTAGGCTGTATACAACACACTAGTGCTTGACAACAGTAGCCCGATACACACTACAACTACACAACATTTCGTCCAATGAAAATTAACAATAAAATAAACAAAGGGGAATGACTCCTGCATCAATATTGAATAAAAACGCAAATGACGTCATGAGCACACACGGAGCTCAACAACAGCCTGCCGATAATAGTATTGATAGTTCCCATCGAATATCGTTCACAAATTTTTCTTGAAATAACTTTCTTCCTTTAATCATAACTGACGTATATTTATTGTCACATTTATGGATTTCATTTAAAAAACGCATGTATTCCAGAATATTTCGAAAGGTAAAATTTTTAAGTAACATGACACTGGGGAAGCACTGATGAAGTATCTTTTGTTGTGTGTAGCAGCCTAGGGATGGCTTACTCACATCACGTGACCAAACAAGGAAGTGACTAAGCGACTCCCATTAATGGATGCCCCCTTAGGAGAAAATTATGAATTTTTTTAGTGGTGGCTATTGTGCGGCTAAAGACTAATTTATATTCATTTACTTACTTGTTTTACAGAATCTGATTCTTTTACTTCAAAGTTTAAGCCTTGTTCAAACTACATTCAAAAGATGCCTTTATAACTTATAAATAAATCTAACATTAAAAATTATGACGCATCTAGAATGTCTGACGAGATTTAACATTTCCAAATAGCAGAGTGTACAAGTCATGATTTCTTTCGAGCATCATAGCACACTATGGCACGGCTGAAAAGTTTAAAAAAGGATTGGGTAAATCAGTTCAGAGACGTGCACGATAAAGTGCGTAACACTGAGTTCGTTTATTCTCTCAGGCACCTCTCTGGGCTTAGAGAACGCAGCCCAACTCATATGTCATTAAAAAAAAACATATTAATTCTGTCACTGTCACATTTGTTGATACAAACACGTAACTGTCACGGTCACATTTGTTGATACAGACACATAACTCGTTAGGTGGTGGAAGAGGATAGAGCAGTTCAACAGGACCAATGGTCTTTTTAGCTTATGTGCTGTTCCTGATGAGACCGAGTGGTGGCAATGGTGGATTCTGTTAAACGACAGATCTCAGAGGTACGGTACCAATGATTAATATCTAAAGGTATCTCAAGATCCAAGCCCCATCCATGTGGTACCAAATTCAGCTAGGGATATAGTTACAATTTTTAAAAGATTTATTTGTAAAATTTAGGAAAACCCAATTCAAAAACAAACTAAAATTTCCTTTTCCCAAGAACATGATCTGTTGGCATCTAAGAAATTGACTCCTTTCAAAATATTAAGATTCATAATCGAAACTAATCAAAACGAGTAAGAAACTTAGTTTAAACAAATATTTGAATTCTATTTTAATTTTTATATTGATAATCTTAGTGAAATTCAGAAAAAAAACAGTTTTACAAGTTTTAACCATACAAGTATTTTCTATTATAATTTAGACCACATACATGTTATATTAAAATGGCTAAATAGGTCTTTAAAAATCCTAGACAATAGAAAAACCCTACTCCCATCCAGTGGAGTAGCTTGGGGAGGGGGGCCCAAATTCGAAAGTCCCCCCGGGCCCCTACTTGAGGGGGGCTCCCAAAGGAGTGTCCGAAATTTTTTTTACATTAAATATTAAATATTACAACACTGCCATGTAATCTTGCTATTCACGTTGTTAAATAAGTTAGTGACCCTGTTAGTGACCCTGTTAGTGACCCTATTTGTGACCCTGTTAGTGACCCTGTTAGTGACCCTGTTAGTGACCCTGTTAGTGACCCTATTAGTGACCCTGTTAGTGACCCTGTTAGTGACCCTGTTAGTGACCCTGTTAGTGACCCTGTTAGTGACCCTGTTAGTGACCCTGTTAGTGACCCTGTTGCATGTATTCCACACAGATTAATGATTTCAAAATTACATATATCAACACGCATGTAAAAACTGGTCAAAAGTTTACTAAACACTGTCAATACATAACTCCAGTTTTTGTAAAACACGTTACCTTGACGGCATTTTATCGGTACCTTCTATTTTATGTCCATGCTATAATCCGTCTGTCCATAGACATATATAGAAAGGTAATAGTTCGTATTTAGGGTTTTTTCGATCAATTTTCCCACCCTTGCAATCAATTTCTTCTTGTACTTCTATATATTAAGGGCCCACGATTAAATTATTGATCATTTTGGCTCCTATGCATGTAGAGGGGATTTGCAATGTTTCTGTGCCTGGTGTTGATGACGACATTTCAACGATTGCAAGTGCCATGTGAGGGAATCATGCACTGGGGGTTTGAAGGCTTGAGCCAATAGACACAAATGAGTCTAGTGGTCTCGCCTCAACTGTTCCTTTTGAAAGCTTGTTCCAGTCCATGGGCGCCCGCAGAGGGGGGCAAGGGGGGGGGCAAGGGGGCACTTGCCCCCCCCCTGGATTGATTGGATAAAAATTTTTTAGACAAAAATAGACAAAACATTTATTAAAGTAAAGAGAAAATAAAGAGAAAGTAACTAAGCTGATGTCCTGTCCGTTCGTTCACCATAAAAATACGCTACAGTAAATTAAAACTATATTAAAACATCACTAAAAAATGTGTGCCCCTTCCTGGAAAGTTAATCGATTTTTTTGCCCCCCCCACCCCTTCTAGAAAGTTTTCTGCGGGCGCCCATGTTCCAGTCCCTGATTGTCTTGGGCAGGAATGAGCAGCTTCTAAGCTGGCTTCTTGCTGGTATGAGCCTGAATTGCCTGTCATGGCTTCGTCGCTGTCTATGGGGGAGAGGGACGAGTTCCTGTTTAATTCCACCCTTGCAATCAATTTTCCCATCCTTGAAATCAAAATTCCAATGAAAAATTGTACCCTTATTTTTATTTTAAAAACATACTCAAAAAAATATTTTAATATAGGTT